CTTTCTCCAATGCTTCACTCAGCTCACAATCTTCCATAGTTACAATACTGTTGTATGTTAACTGATCAGGTGCTAGTCTTTTCTCTTCCATTTTTGATAAAAGATGATATGCTTCTTTTAGCTTCCTGTCCTTGCAGAAAGCCGAGATCATTGTGTTGTATGTAATCGTATCAACCTCTCTTTCCTTGATAAGCGAAATGAAGAAAGTGAGAGCATTTTTGTCATATCCTCCTTACAAAGACCAATGAGAAGTGTTACATGTGTGGTTAGATGGCTTGAAAGAGTGTTTAAAGGATTCGATATAAAACTCTGAACGATTTCTCAACCCATACGACTCTTTAGTATCCAAGGATGATTGAACTGTAAGTCGTGTCATCAGGAAGCAAACCACTCTCAGAAAGCTCATCGTATTTCTCCATCGCTTGCTAGCTCAGTTTTTCCCGATCTTTATCTTCTTCATCTCTTCCCACATCTCCAAAGCTTTCTCAACCTTTCCTTCCTTTGTAGTAACATGTGACTAATGTTCCACAACTAACCTCGCTTATGAACACTATCGAGCAAATTGGGTGATACTGTAGACAGAACCTTCGGTGAGACTATACCTGAATCTGAGCTGTCGAGTCGCAGCAATGGATGCTTGCATCAGCGTTGACTGTTTGTTTAATAAAAAACATTTGAGTAACAAAAGATAAATAAACGCTATCATAAGGAACGTATATCTGAGAGAACAATAAAATTATTCAAGGATCCGACGAAAATGAAACGAATTAAGAAGGAACTTATATTGCAAAGAATAAAATCAGCCTCCACTGTTTCGGAAATAGAAATAAAAACTTCTTATATAATTGACAGAAAAGGAATGTATACCTTGTATTAAAAAAAAAAATCTTTCCAGGATCTAAACAAAAGGAAACGATATAAGAATGAACGTATATTGGAGAGAAAAAAACCTTTTTGCAGATCTAAACAAAAGGAAAGAATTTCAGAAGTAACATATACTGGAGAGGCTTAACCGGAATTAGATGTTCTTACATTCTCATCAATCAGCAACATGTCAAGAATCATCAGTTCTCTGGATCTGCTGTTGTTCCTGTTGGTGTTTCTGATCTCCACTGTGTGAGAGCAATGTCCGGCCTTCAAATCAGCGAGGAGAGTGTAGGAGTTCGCCATAGCAGTAATCGTGTAAGTAAGTTTCTCTTGGATATCGTTTGAGTTGCGTTCGCCATCATTCGAGACCCAGATATTTATAATCCAACTTTGGACGGTTTTGTGTAGGATTCGAAGAGATCGACTAAATGCTTCTCATTGTGATAAGGATGAAAAGCTCAGAGTTACTAAGGTATTAATGGCAGGCTAAGCCGTTATGGTGTGAAGATCGTGATCCTGCGTCACTATACCAGAGGCGGCAGCTCGGACGGGATGAAAAGAGGAATCATGAATGACCTAAAAAATTATTTGGGCCTTTCAGTTATCTACTAACCCCCCCCCCCCCCAGCCCAACAAAGTAATTGCAAACCGGTCTAATAATCAAACTCAAAACCGGCAGGCGAAGACATTACATTTACGGTTTAATTTAAATTATTAATTGCTGACGTGGATTTTTTTGCCCCACTCTATGATGCTGAGCTGGACATCCTAAGAAGGGAGAAAACTTAGCTTTATTGTATAAGATGAGAAATAGTTTATTGTAGGGATCATAGGATTATTAATGAGGATGGAAGTCAAATAAATATATAAATCCACCATTGTTGTTAATAAGAAGTCGCTAAACTCGCCGGCGGAATTATGTTTATAGTTATGAAGCTTTGACATTATATCAACTTGGCAGGTTTTGCAGTTTTTTTTGGGAAAAAAGGATAATTGACAACATCAGATGCTTTAATTTGATATCACCCTTTCAGACAAGTTGGAATATAGACGTATATATTTTTGCTAGACCACCTGAAACGTGCTGGGATGATCTGCAGGAGCCCCCATTATATTAGAGAGTTTTGCATACCATATTCTTTCATCTACTTCACAATCCTTTGTATCAAGAGTTCTTATGTTAACTTGAAAATGGAGGGTCATCACCAACTTTTATTAGCATTGAGCTTCGGGGCTTTTGCCATTATCCATCTTGTTCAAGCTCAGCCTGATCAACATGGTAAAGTTTCTATCTCATTTGTTAAAAGTAGTTTTAATGTCTGTCTCGATTTGTGTCACGCACTATTTTAACTGCACAACAAATTGACACTTTAGTAGGCGAGTTAACTTTAATATGTACAGAGCCTTGCCTATGCTTTATTTACATTGTACACCTACAGTGTGTTAAAAAGATGGATCCTATAAAACAAAAACAAAAAGCTGCAAACAAATGAGACTCAAAATAATCTAGAAATTTATTTTTTTGTTTCTTTTGTTAATAAAATACAGGCAAGAATTTAAAATGCAAAGTATAATGTCAGGAAAAAGCATTGGACCATAGATTTTAACTGTTAAAATAAGTGAACAATCAAAAAATTATGGATAGTAATTAAACACTATCCTAGAACATAAGTCATATATATGATTAATCAATTGTCATAAACTAAGCTGTCAGTCAAAATAATCAATGATCATCAATAACAAATGACAAATGATGGTCGATCCTGAGATTTAGAAGATTATATACGATTTAGTAAAAATTTCAAGAAAAAAAAAAATTTGTTTTACAAATTGGGAATATATATATATATGTAATTTTATTCAAAAGTTGTGGAGCAAGAGGTCAATGTTTCTTTCAGCTTTGCCAATGACCTGCCATGTAACTCGTTTGGTAAACATCATAACCATCAACGCTGTTTGATATGTATCTTACGTAAACCTCATGTAGATTTCAAACAGTGAACTCATAGTGGACAAAAATTCATTATACAAATCACGTGAAGATTATTTGTAGACTATAGAGCCCATAGATTGGTTTACACTTTACAGTTTGAACTTTTTATGCTTTTCAGTATTTACTAGAGATATATATATCTCACATCGGAAATTACAAATAATATATAAAGGGTAACAATCCACTAATCACCAATTGATTTTAAGTTAAAAGTTCATAATAAACTCGAATCTAACATGATATCAGAGCCAAGATCCTAAAAAAGTCCTAAATTTCTAATTAATTGATTAACCATTCCGGCCGGGTATAAAGATCGTGTTTAACCTTCCGACTAGATATAATTGTCGTATTCGACTCGCTCAAACGAGTATAACTGTCTTAAAATTCCAAGATTTCTGGCCGATATGAACCATCATCTCGAAAAAGGATATTAAGGATATATATCTCATATCTGGAATTCAAAGTAATATATAAAGGCTAAATGTCAATCCACTAATCATCAATTAGTTTTAAGTTGGAAGTTCGTAATAATCCCGAATCTAATAACATTTTTATCATTTTCTTGAGCTTTATATGTTAATGAAATGAACAAAACATTAATTGCACTAAAATTTTGTGTTTTGCCAGGATTTATAAGTTTGGACTGTGGTTTATCCCCTAGTGAGTCTCCGTATACCGACCCTCTAACCGGGTTAACATTCTCATCTGATGCTGATTTCATCCAAACTGGTAAGCGCGGTGAAGTAGGGGATGGTGAAATCTATCCCTTCAAGCAACTCAAAGATCTGAGATATTTCCGGATGGAATCCGAAACTGTTATAATCTGACAGTAAACAAGGGAATCAACTATCTAATTAGGGCTGGGTTCTCATATGGAAATTATGATGGCCTTGATATATCTCCCAAATTTGATATGCACATAGGGCCTAATATGTGGACTTCAGTGGTTGTGGGATACGGAAGCTATCGTGAGATCATATACATGTCAAAGTCAAATTTATTGCAGGTTTGTCTTGTCAAGACAGGAGAAACTATACCAGTGATATCAACCTTGGAACTAAGGCCATTAAGAAATGACTCTTATATGACACAACTAGGTCCCTTGGACCTAATATACCGGCGGACATATACAAGCGATAGTTACGGTTATATACGGTATGTAAATTTAGCCTCCCAAGAAATCAGTTAAAGTTTGGATTTATGATATGCTTTTAATTTGTCATCAAAAGTAGTAAGAGTACTACGCCGTTAAAGTATACTAGATGTTTGGCTGCAATTTTACGGGTAGTTATATTATATGAAGAAATATAGATAATGTTTACAAATTTTTGACTAATTATTAAAAATATTAAAATTTTAATTTTAAGTTTGAATAGTTGGATAATCAACAAACTCAATATATAGTTGTAGCAGAGCGGTGAGATTTAACATATCTAAACAACATAAATATTAGTTACAATGTTTACAACATTATATATTTGAATAATAATTAGAAATATTAAAATGTTAATTGTAAGTTTAAGTATTTGGATAATCAAAAAAAGTTTAATATATAGTTTTAGAAGTGTAGTGATATTTAACATATCTCAACAACATAAATATTAGTTATTAAAAAAAAAATTCTTACAAAAAATAGTTTTTGTTATTTAGTGTTTTGTTCACGGTGTTATAAATATTTAAAAAATCTTACTTTTGCAATTATTACCATTTTTTATTTATTTTTTATTTAAAAACATAATATAATTTGATAATATTTTATTTTAAAAAAAATATTAAATATAAAATAATAAAATATTATTGATCGGTGGATTCACCCTAGAGGTGAATTCAAAAATAACTCATTAAATTTTGAATAACATTAGATATTCATTAGATATTCGTAAAATATTCGTTTGGATAGAGGATCGCGAATACTGTAAATTAAATATGTATCAGTCAGTGTCATTTAATTATACAATAAACAATTATATGTTAAGGAATGGACCACTTATAATATGACAAATCAAATCAGAGTCTTTTTTGTAGTCTTTGTTATGAGAATTGTGTCTCTACCTCTCTTTCTTCTATTTTCTTATTATTTTATTTGTGATAAACAGGATGAGATATCTTTTATGATGATGTTTTAACCTATTTAGTTTGCATGGCTAAACCGTTTTTCAGATATCCCGATGATGTCCTTGATCGCATGTGGGATCGGTATAACTGGTTCGAAACAAATGTAAACACAACTCTCAATGTAACTTCATCTAATCCTTTTGCAGTACCAGACGCTGTAAGTAGGTTTGGAATCTCTCCTAGAAATTCCAGCAGGCCATTATACTTTTACGCCTATCCGCAAGAAAAAAGTGGAAAAGTTAATGTATACTTTCATTTTGCCGAGATTCAAGTCTTAGAAGCAAATGATATTAGGGAATTTGACATTTTATTGGATAAAACTGTTATCCGCAAAGCTTATACTCCTAAGGTGCTACAATCAGAAACAATATACAACCTATCGCCACAGAAATGCAGAGGCACGTGCTACTTGGACCTCGTACAAACTCAAAGATCAACTCTTCCACCACTGATTAACGCTATTGAGGCATTCGAAGTTTTGGAATTTTCATATACTGAGACGAATCAAAACGATGGTATGTCACTATCATCTATGTATAATTTCTGCATGATTAGGAAACGTCTGTTATTGACATTGTGCATGCTGATTCTTGACTTGCTCTTTGTGCCTCTATTTCAGTCGATGCTATGAAGAATATTCAAGCATTTTATGGGTTAAACATGATAAGTTGGCAGGGAGATCCATGCGTTCCTGAAGTGTTGAAATGGGAAGGTCTAAAGTGCAGCTACACAAGCAAGTCTATTCCTCCAAGAATTATTTCCTTGTAAGATCACTGTCTCACTTTTTCTCATGTTTAATAATCAAATTTCGCGTGAACAAAAAAAAACTCAAATTTCTCTAAGGATAATTCTTTCAAATAGACATTTTAAAAATTTTTATCACAAAAATAGATCTCAAAAACTAAAATGACCAAAATAACATTTTTTATTTGGAAATTTTAAGTTTTTTTTTTAATTTAAAATTATATCCACAAAACCTCACTGCTCAACTCTAAACAAAAAAAAAGTTTATGATTAATTAATCCATAGTGTATAAGTGTATATTTACTTATTTTTGATAAAATATTTAAATCTGTTTTGTTTATTTTTATCTTCAATGTTTATATTTGTCACAAAAAAAATTTTAGGTTTATCCTATATAATTTTTTTTTGTCAAAGTATTTAATACTTTAAATTTGTTCTGATAATGTCAACAGAGATTTGTCATCACTTGGGTTAAAAGGAGCGATAACCCCTGCCTTTCAAAATCTGACTGAGCTTCAAAACCTGTAAATCTCTACTACCCTTTGGTCGTCAATTACGTATCCACTCATAATCTCATTATAGAAAATCCAAACATATTACATATAATGATATGATGATTTACGGTCCACTTATATTAAATCTATAAAATAGTCGATTCATCTAGCAGCCACAAAGAGCTTGTCGCTTCGTTTGTCTTAACTTTCTTTGTTGTCAAATAGTCACTTTTTCTAAATAATGGAAGTGAATATATTAGCTTTCTGTTGTAATAATGTATATGTTGTTTGTTCTGACATTTTAAAGAATCTTGTGTTTGGCTCACAATTCTTATAATTAATTTTAATTTAAAAACATGTCATATTGTGTCCATGGTTATTCTTATAAGTTATAACCGAGGCACGTATCATTATCATATATATATATATATATATATATATATATATATATATAATATACGTGTTTGTGTGTACGCGCGCGTGTTCGTGTGTGACTTTGATTTTTAATCATTTTAGATGTAGTTGTTCTTGTGTGATCTTGGTTATGTAAATACTACTAATTGGAAATATTAATTTATAAATGCATTTATGAATGAGATAGAAGAAACTTATCCACTTTTTCATATATATATGTGTGTGTGTGTCAATGTGTGAAAATAATAAAAGGAAACTTATAATAATATAGTAAAATATTAATTCAAATAAAAAAATTAAAAGGAACTGGATTAATTATTTAGCCTAGAAATGAGAAAAATGGAATGATTTTTTTTTTTACATTTTCAAAATGCTAGGGACTTGTCAAATAACAGTTTGACTGGAGGAGTTCCCGAATTTCTAGCCGGAATGAAGTCATTACTGATCATGTAAGATGATGACTTAAACAATTTAATTAGCCACTTGTTTTTTTTACTAAATTCGGATGTTGTCTAAGTAATGCTTTCTCTGCCTTGGCAGAGATTTGAATTGGAATAATCTTACGGGTCCTCTCCCTAATGCCTTTCACGATAGAGAAAAGAATGGGCAAAAGCTAGCGTGAGATTTTCACACTGTTATTTTCTATTTCTTTTAAGCTTTATATAGGCCAAAGTCTTATCCAGAAACATTTGTTTTTTTTATAAGGTACCAAGGAAACCCAAAGCTTTCAGCTGATGAGTCATGCAACAATAACAATCAAAATTACATTCTACCAGTTGTTGCATCGGCAGCTTCCCTACTCATTATTACAGCGCTATTTTAGTTCTCTCTCATTCTTGTTTTCAAAAAGAAATGGGCAACGCAAGGTACTTAACTATGTATTCTTATTGTAACAGGAATGATGTATTTTGTATTCTGATCGCATGGATGGATGTTTTAGTTATTGACTAATTATTTTTTCTCTCAGTTCAATACGAGTTACCAAGTAGAGGATGAAGACGTTGTGATCCATTTGCAAAGCGAATGTAAAAAAAGCTATGAAGACAAAGTATGAAACGAAGATTGTGATCTTTTTATCTTTGAGTTATGTGTGTGTATCAGTATTTATGAATTCTATGTGTGTGTGTGGTTCTTCTCCTAGCTTTCTCTTTTTGTTTGTTTTTCCATTTCTCTTACTTTTTTGTGGAAGAAACCTTATTTCAAGTTTGTATATTCTTTTCTTTCTTGCACAATAAGAGCTATCATGAGTATTTTGTGATAATCTAGATCATAATTACTTCCAGTTTCTATTCTTTTCTTTCTTGCAAAAGAAGAAACTACCATGAGTGTTTGTGGCATAAGTTTTTTTTTTGTAACTGAACTATGTCATAAGTATTTCCAGTTTACATTATCGTAAAACGTAATTACGGAAAATCGTATTAACAAAAAACACTACTCAAAACAAGAGCAAAGATGAAAGGCAACCACTAGTAATGTCCCAGGATTTATGAGTACCACCCACCCAAACTCCGGAGTCTTCTTCAACATAACCAACAAGTGTTCAGTCCCGTGAGGTTTGCATCAGCTCGAAACCACTGCAAAAAAAAAAAAAAGTGTATAATTAGTTACAATTCAAGTACTTGACAATGTTTTCTTCTTCCCCCCTCAGAGAATAGATAATGAAAATGCTACCTGTCTCAGGACATCACCACGTGTTCTGGGTAAGCCTTCAATATCTCTCAGCGCTATGTAGTATGGGAAGTGGAAGGAATCCATACATGTCATTTGCTTTAGAGTATTCTCGGTTTGCGCAATTCCCGTTTTCAAAAATAAAAAGGGAAATTGCTAGAAATAACATTTTCAAGATACCACTTTTCAACTTTACACTAACCAACTTTACCATTAAAATTTTAATAGGCAAAATACTATTATATCCTTAACTAATTAAACTTAACAGCTTTAATAAGGTTTTGATAGATTAAGGTTTAGAGTTTAGAATTTAGGGTTTAGGGTTAAGAATTTCGGGTTTATGTTTAAAAAAATTTATGGTTTAGAGTTTAAGGTTTAGAATTTAGGGTTTAGGGTTTCGAATTTAGGGTTTAGGGTATAGAATTTAGGGTTTAGGGTTTATAATTTTAGGGTTTAGGGTTTGGGGTTTAGGGTTTAGAATTTAGGGTTTAAGATTTCAAATTTAGAATCTAGGGTTTAAAGTTTTGGGTTTAGAATTGATATTTTAAGGTTTAGGGTTGATTTTTAGGGTTTAGGGTTTGAATTTCGAAATAGTATAATTCGAAAAAAAAAAATTTATTTTTTGTTTTTTTTATTTATTTAAATATTTATTTTATATATATATATATATATATATATATATATATATATATATATATATATATATATATATATATATA